TGTACTTATATTATTTGTATTATATTTTCTAAAGCTTTGACACTGTGTACTTATATTATTTGTATTATATTTTCTAAAGCTTTGACACTCTGTGTACTTATTTTATTCGTGAAAGATATAATTTTGAATATAATTAAATGATAATTCTAAATGTTAATAGAAAATATAATTCTCTAGTGTTAATAAAAGTATATCCTCCTTCTATTTTTGTCATGATGTTTTAAAATATTATCTTTGAATGGATGATATATAATTTTCTGTATTTCATTTTGTTTCAGGTGACAAATGGTTGGTCTCCTGTCTGGGTGTTCTTCACTTGAGTAAAGGACTCTTCTACAGGGTGGTACCAGCCGATCAAGATTTTGGAAACAATGGTGAACCAGCAGGATCACCTAGCGCAGAATATGCTGGTGTATTTAGATTTCGTTTATGGTGGTGTGGTGCTTGGGTTGAGGTACTAGTCGACGACAGATTACCAGCTGTTCATGGAAGATTGGCTTTCGTCCAAAGTCGGCATAGTGATCAGTTTTGGCCAGCCCTTTTAGAGAAAGCCTATGCGAAGTAAGTTATTCCAATGGGAACAAATTTCTCCTTGTAAATTTATATTTTATTTTTAGAATACATCATTTTATATACATACACCTCTTTGGTAATATTTGAATAGGTGTAACATTAGGATCAATAATCCAGCTGAAATGTATTCTTCTTGATATATACATTTGTTTAAGTTTTTTATATAATTTAAAATTATTAACACACACATTTGAGAAAAATTATATATATATATACATTTAAAAAATGTTAATTTAAATAAGTACAAATAACGGATTACTGTGTGTGTGTATAGATACAATCTTATATTAACTGAATAATATTTTATAGAGAAATATTTTGAATAATTATAAATGAAACTCAGCAAAACATTGAAATATTTTTCTGAAGTAACAAAGAAACTTGAAAGTATAGTTATCTTATCTTGAAACGAACGAATGGACGAGCGTACCGGTATTGCATAGCATCGAACAAAAAGGGCTCTCACTTTTCTGTTCGAAGGTAATAGTGGAAAAGCGTGAATTATGGTCGACAGGTCCGATGTATGTTCAGAAATAAGGTGCCTTGGTTCTTGCTAGCAAGAAAACGATTCGCACGTTATGCGCGCTTTTGTAGTGGGCGGTGTGGGCGTTAACCAGGTGGATGCACTCAAGGTGCAGCTATGCACCGAGAACCAACCCGACCTTACTGCAATAGATCGATGAACCTCGATCGCGATCTTCGTCCTAACACCCACACGTCAAATGATCAACGTTATGCATTTCTATCATGACCCTGAATATAATGCATCTTTTATATTCATTTTTCTTACTTCAATTATTCGTTGTTATTTCAAATGGTATAATTCTTTTTGTTTAAATATCAACATTTTTATATTATTTATATTATTTGAATATTTTTTATTACACAAACTATTATTATATTATATAATATATTTCAATATTACATTAATTTATATTATATATAATAATAGTTCTCTATTCTTCTTGAATAACTAGTATATTACTATTATCGTATTATACGGAAACGTGCAAATCAAGAAAGGCAAAAAAACCATGGAAAAAATATTGACCTTAGGCTAAAAGATAGGAAGGAATGAAGAAGGGGGATGGGGAAGGGGAAGGGAGGAGGGGGTCACCGAGATGACGGAGAGTCAGAGTCAGAGGAAATCTCAGGAGAACCAACCGGAGTGATCCGTGATGCGAGTAATCGTTCCTTGCGATCTCTCTTCGAGTTGGAAGATGAGTTTACGTGGACGAAAGAACGAAAGAACGAGGATGACCGGTTCTCTGGCGAGGTCCTTGCTCCTTTTCTTAATCTTCTACTGATGACCCATCATCCTCCTACCCCTCCTAAACCCATCCTTCCTTCCATTTCTCTTACTCCTTGTTCATTTGCTACTTCTTCGTTTCTCTTTTTTTAGGTTTTTTCTTTTCTTTTTAACTTCTTGCAATTTTCTTCTTCCTTTTATTTTTTTTATTTATTTTATTTTTGTTTTCTACAAATTCTTTTGCCAAATTTTTTCTTTTTTTTTTACATTAATATATACATTACATTTAATATTTTAATAAGAACGAATATATAAAAGATTTGTTATTTGAAAGAAAAATTGATTGATTTATTTTTTACTTCTAATATATAGTTAATTATTGATCGTTAATATATTTATTAGTTTGCACAGAAAGTTAATAAATCGTTTATTGATTTTAAACGACGACGAATTTCACTTAGTTTTTATTTGCGTAATATTATTCGTTCATGTATAATAATAAAAATCAGTGTTTTCTCTCTATATAATGTTAAAGTATTGAACAACGAACAACCGTTATCGTACATTTCAAAGTTGTGTTACAGTGTTTTTAGTGGCGCTAACACGACTAAACACTTCAAGACACTTATACGATCAACGTGAAAGATCGTAGAACGTGAATCTAAACTAAAAACTCATTAATAATTAATATCACGTTATATAGCATCTTCTTGGCGACTTCCGTTCAAATCTAAGCTTGGTATGTACACGTACAACGCGTGTGATTCATGAACATCACCCACTCCCCAATCCCCACACCCCCTTAACGTCATTGCATTACCTTTCCTCGTTTCACAACCAAAATAATCTCGGAATGCAATGACGTGTACTATGCTCTTTAACTTTCCAAACAATTTCTATTTGTATTCATTTCAATTTTTACAATGTTGCTCGTAATACAATTTTTATTCACCGTAAAAAAAATGAAGCTCTATACAAGGAGGACAATTGAGATACACGTTTTATATATATAAATGATTGTCACAATGTTATTGCATTGTTTTTATAAATTGTTGCATCGTTTACAGATACGTGATTTAATGGAAAGAGAGAGAGAGAAAAAAAAGAAAAAAGAAATACAATATACAATAAAAGTACCTGCGGTATTCGGTGTTCGCGTGCTGCGGTGAATTGTACTTTCAATCCCTCCCCTACCACCCTCCACACCCTTCCCACTTCGGACTCGTGCATTTACGATGCCATAAGTGTAAAGAAAACGCTGTATGCACCGAACACGGTTATCTTCCTCGTAAACAAATTTACAAGGTAATTTCTATGATTGCGAATACACCCCCACCCACCCCAGAAAGTAACGCGAATATTTTTCTTTAGTAACAAAAAAAAACTGTGTTTTTGAAGTGGTCATAATTTTTGGTTTTTTTTTTTCGTTAACCACATCAGATGAGTGATTTACACGAAATCGAAGAAACAAACGACACTTATATGATTTTTGTATAATACTTTCGTTATATTCTTTTATATTTTTCGTATGTTCATCGTCAATGAATCAAGAAAAATATTTGTAAAGAGAGAGAGAAAAAGAAATAGAAAAGAAATAAAATGAAAAAGAAGAGGACAGGAAGAGAAAAAATCTCAACGAGTTAGTTGTTCATCCAGCGACCTTTACTCCTCATTCATGACGACAATTTACCTGGTGGTAATCTGGTGGATTCGGGACACACGTAGACGCGATTTTATTAAAGGAAGAACACCGTGCATTAGAATCAGTTAGAAAGCTTCTTCGTTCTATTGACGACGATCCATCTTCAAGAGGAACGTGTCTGTTTTTTTCTACTTCTTCTTTTTCTTCTTCTTCTTCTTCTTCTTGATTTCCATTAGAAAACAAGTGTCACTAGCGATGACCGCTTAAGTTAATGTCTCGTTAAAATTACCATCACATGTGTGAAATATAACTCGTGTGTGTTCCTCATTTTTATTTAAAAAATGTTGTATTTTACTTTATTTGGACCAAAAATGACTTACTCACGATTTTGTGTAATCGACTTTCACATAAATAAGCCTAAAACTATAAAGAATAAAAATCAGTTGAAAAAGAAACCCATGAATATTTTGAAAATTCTCGACGTATGTAAGACCTTAAGAAGTATCTTGGAGAATTGTAGATGAAGAATAAGAAGAATAAGAATAAGAATAAGAAAAAGAAATCAGGACTCGACTCGACATCGAGATTTCTGGCATGCTCTGCTATGCTGGGCACCCATACTCGTGCACGCACATGCCAACGTGGTTATATACTAAACAAGTATATACCCAAGCGATACTTTCACTCGGCAAGTAGTCGGTTGGGTGCCAGCAACGGATCAGAGGTCAGTGCACCGGTGACCACACTACAAACTTCTATCAGAGTACACAAAATTATTCTAACAGACCTTAACAACCTCATTGGGGGTTTGATAGGTTATTTATCAAAGAGTAAATATCCCCTTCTTTATAATTTCATTATCATCAAAATGGAAAATGAATATTTTTAAATTGTTTTCCATTACCTCTCTCTCTCTTATGTATTTTTTCTTTTACTTGATTATTGAAAATGAATAAAATATAAGAAAACATTCGTTAAGAATTCGCTGATCAAAGTTAACAGAACTTAGCTACTATGGTTGATAGATGTATAAAAGGAGAAATGAATTACTACCGGTTAGATTCGTTACGAGACGATGATTCGACGACAACGACGAATTGCACTAGCATTTCATCTTAATCGCGATACGTCGAGTCGAGTCTCGTCGGTCTTCCTTGAGAAAATACCCATGCGATTCTCTCTAAACTACTCGTGCGTGCGAATGGTTACGCTTTGGAGAATTAAACTTAGGATAGAACTTCCAAGGAACGTGTTATTTACATGCATACGTATAAATATAGACGGTGTCTGTTTACAAGTAATATATACATAGTACATTTAATTATAAGTTAACTGCTAAATTTATGTTTTTCTTTTTTTTTTTTCGGGAAAATATTCCGTCAGATAAATTATCTAATTTTTTTTTTTTAATTAATTTCATATATATCCACGAAAAGTTGTCTAATGATATATTCAAATGATGTTACCCAAATGAATTCGAACAAATCTAAAATGAATTTGGATAAAATAATTAATTATAACATAGAATTGTTTGATCTTTATTAAAAATGAATTTTCAATCTAAAAACTAATCAAATATTTCTAATATATTTATATAAAGAAGAAAGTTATTTTTATTTTCGAAAGAGGATTTCTCCTCAATCACGTGAATCAATAAATTGAAGCTTAGAAACCTTCATTCCGATCATTCAACGACAGTCATTTTCACGAGACCCCTTGACCTGCCACAACTAGAGAGAAGCTTTTACTTCCTTTCTCTCTTTCACTAATTCAGCCATTAGTTATGTTCCTTTTCGTTTGAACATTTTAGACTTCACGGCTCGTACGAGGCATTAAAATATGGCACGCTGTTGGATGGTTTGTCCGATTTAACTGGTGGGATCACAGAAAGCATTGCTATTAGACAAGACCCAACTGCTTGTGGTAGAGCATTAGCTAAACTTTTAGATATGACTTCTTTAATCACCTGCGTTGTTCACAATAATCAACAACATCAGGTAATATTAATTATTATTTGATTATTGATTTAATAATCGTACATTTAAACGAGAAAAAAGTGTTAAACGTTATATTTATTTATTTTGTTTTTATTTTTAGTTACGTGCCAGTACAGAAAAATTAGCCAACGGTATACAAATGGGAATAAATTACAGATTGTACGCTATAGAAAGGGTAAGCTAAAAAAAAAAACAACTGATGTGTGTACTTATGTACGCACGTAAGAAATTATACTTCTTTAGCGTATTAAAACGAATATAACCTCCATAACCTCAAAAATAATTTCAATTTGCGCGCGCATCGTAAATAATCGACAACTTCGTGGTGTCGAATTTTTCGGTCGCATCTAACTTCACTTTCCAAAACGCGCCAAAAGAAGTATAACTTCAAAAATAATTCTTTGTTTTATATACTCGCGTGTATATCTGTGCATAATTTGTAAGATATTAAAGAAATAATTCAAATAAACGTATCGCAACACGTAGGTAGAAACATTTAGTGGTGAGGCTGTACAACTGGTAAAATTGCGAAATCCACTTGGTCCTGGTGGCGAGTATATAGGAGCATGGGCACGTGGTGGTTTAGAGTGGGACGAAATTCCAGCAATGGAACGAGAACGTTTAGCGGTTAGAAATATGGCTGAAGGGGAATTTTGGTGAGTTACTGAAGTATGAAATATAAAAACTGTGTTTATATAAATTACCAATTAAGTATATTATAAAACAACATTTTCTTTTGTTTTTCTTTGAAGGATATCCTACTCTGATTTTGTAAAAACTTTCACTCATTTAGAAGTGGTTCATCTAGATGCCGAAACATCGAGAGATGAGCCATCGTTGCACAATAAACACACATGGCAAATGAAATTATATCAGGGTAGTTGGAGGAGAGGTGTAACAGCAGGTGGATGTCGAAACAATCAAGGTTGGTTTATCCTGTCAGTTGGAAAAATGTAATAGGACGATTATAAAAAAAAAAGAACAACAGTAATAAGTATTTCTCTCCATTGCGCAGAAACCTTTCACATAAATCCACAACTACATTTAATTCTGAGCGAGATGGAAGAAGTAATCGTATCGTTGAATCAACATTCTATCATGGAACTGAAAGTAAGAAACGTGTTCAATGAACTCATTTATAACTTTAACTATTATTAGATTTAAATTTAATTCTCTCTTTCCTAATAACAGGTAATAGGTTTCACTGCGTACACTTTACCGAAGAACAGTACGGAATCGATAAACAAGCAATTTTTTAAGAAAAATAAATCATTAGTTAATTCTGAATATACAAACAGTCGACAAGTGAGCCATAGATGTCAACTTGAACAGGGTGGTTACTTATTGGTACCAACTACCTTCGAACCAACTCAGGAAACAAGTTTCACGTTACGAGTTTACAGCAGTAAACCTTTGAAGCTCAAGTATGTAAATTGATGAATTATTCATCACAAATTATCTCATATAAAATCATTTATATCAAAAGAAAGAGATGAATATACTTATTATATAATATACCCTTCAAGAAAAATCAAAATCGATTAATTATTAATAATAATTTATAGATTACTGGATACACCACCATCGTTAATGAAATCAGCTATAGTTAAAGCACCTCCATTAGAAGGCAAAGGATTTTCTCAATACGAAGCTGTGTTCCTTCAGTTAGCTGACGAGCACAGAACAGTAAATGCATTTGAACTTCAAGAATTACTTGAAGCTTGTCTTCCTAACGGTACAATAATTATCAAAACAATATTTGATATAAATCTTAAAAAATAACGAAAATATAATTATAATATATATATATATATATATATATATATCATATTTTTTGCAGATTACATTAAAAGCTGTGCGTGCATGGAAGTTTGTCGACAAGTTGTTTTGACGATGGACGTATCCTTAAAAATTAAATTAATCGCTTGATTTGATTTTGTTGTTGTTGTTGTTGTTCTTGTATTATTCGATCGAATAGAAACGTTCGTTTTTCTTAACTTCTCTCTATTTTTCTGTTTGCTTGATATGTGTATACAGAGTTCAGGTAGTGGTAGATTAAAGTTCAATGACTTCAAAGATCTCATGTGTAGTTTGAAGTATTGGCAAGCTGCATTTAAAAATCATACGAAAGAAAAGACTGGTATTCTCAAAGCCGAAAGATTACGAGATGCTCTTTTAGAAGTCGGTACGTTTTATGTCACATTACTTTATTTTTAATTACAAACATGTTCATATATTTTTGTTTCAATAGTTATTCATTTTATTCATAGGTTTTCAATTAAATACTGACGTATTGTCGATCCTTATCCTTCGATATATGAGGAAGGATGGAACTCTGCGATTCGGCGATTTTGTTTCAGCTATATTACATTTAAGTGATGCATTTGGTATGAACAAAAAATAATATTAATTATGTATGTTATTGGCATTGTATATAATGCTCTAAACAAACACACACACACTACTGAAGCACATTTTATAGATTAATCGAATAGAACAAAAATTTCAACTCGATTTATTTTTAGGTATATTCGAGAGCAAAGATCCTCTGCAGAATGGAACTATAAAATTAAGTTTATCAGAGGTATGTTAATGAAAAAATGAAATAAAATTTTAATAAATATGAATGTGAAATAATAAAATGTGAAAACTAAAACAATATTTTATACTTTATCTTTATAAATATCTTAGGTATTTTAATTTTATAGAAATAGATAGAAATCTTTTTTTTAATTCAATTGATTTATCAATGTTTGTTTTTTATTGCAGTGGCTTAGATCATCTCTAATGTGCTGAAGTGCCTTTCGTCCATCGTAATTTATGTACCTTGAATCGATTGTAAATAATATTTTTCTATCGTCTAACTAGAAATAAGTATTAGCCATATTAACGATTAATGATCAAATTCATTTTAACAGTTTTGTAATATAATTATCGTTAATATCACGTTATTACAAATCGTCATTTTCACTCCATTAAAAGTTAAGAATATAAAATTTTGTATAATAAATTGTTTGTATATATAAGATAATCGTATATTATCGTATCGATAATATAAACAAAAAAATTAAATTTATTTTCTATATAATATATCATTCACCCTTCATCCCTTTTTTAAATAAAACTTTTCTTATATTTCATCCCCTTGAAATAGAGTGCAATATAATAAAATATATAAGATTTCTTTCAGTTCTATTCTCATATTTTTGTTAAAACTTTTTAATAACAATGCATTTAAAAGCCTACATTTATTTAACATTATTTTCTTTTTTTTAAACTTTAGAATATACTTGTAAAATTTTATCGAAACAATCTGAGACATCCTGTACAAAAAGAAAAAACAAATACGAATACGAAGTGCATCCGATTTAAATTTACCGCGCATCAATGTGCAGTTAGTGCATTGGAATGCAGCAATGGCGGTAAAATATTACCATTAATCAAATGACTCAGTGATTGTGGCATTCGCGAACGCGTTGAATACCTTACTTCAAGTATATATTGACATATTTATTTAAAAAATAAGTTAAATACCTATCCATGAATCCATTTGTGTACAAATACATACGTGAAAACAATAAAAGCTGATAAAACTATATTTAATGGACTTGTCTGATACTATGCTGCTTCGTAAGCAATAACGTGAATGTAGGTTAGATTTCATACAAAACACTCGTAATCAAATATTGTTCAAAATCTACTATCCATAATAATTCACAAAAGAAAATTATCAAGCACAACTGTAAACTATGTTTGAAATCACGGATACACAAAGTAAGTAAATTATTGATCTTATATTTTATGCAATCTGATTAACATTTAACAAAGAAAATATAAAAACAAACTTGAAATTGTGACACAATTTACAATTGCATTTCGATAACAGAAAAACTGTTTTACAGAAATTGGAGTTGGGCTTGCAGGATTTGGAATATCATTTTTATTCCTTGGAATTTTATTATTCTTTGATAAAGGCTTACTTGCAATTGGGAATGTAAGCACTTGTAACTAAAATATGAATACATATTTTAATATGCACTAAACTGCTATTTCTTTTTTCAGCTCCTTTTTATTTCGGGTCTGGCTTGCGTCATTGGACCACGAAGGACTTTAAGCTTCTTTTTCCAATGGCACAAAATCAAAGCCAGTGCATCCTTTTTAGGTGGTATTTTTGTTGTACTGATGGGTTGGCCAATTGTTGGAATGATTATAGAAACTTATGGTTTCATACTGTTATTCAGGTATTCGCTTAACTCTATGCGTTAATCCATATGTTCATGTATTTAATATAAATCGGTTATTTTAAATATCTGTTTCTATTTTACAGTGGCTTTTTACCAGTAGCAATAAGCTTTTTGAGAAGAGTTCCTATACTAGGAACCATACTCAATATGCCAGGTCTTAGTCGAATTTTAAATAAAATAGCTGGTGATACAAACAGAACAACGGTATGACCTACTTCAAGTTTTCATATCATATTGGTGTATATAAAAGTAATTGTGTCATGGTGTATCCCTAATTTGTCATTCCTTCTATGAACTTTTTCAAACTTTGTACAAACATGTAAAAGGGTTTAATATCTCTTTTACATTATTTAAGTATTAAATATAAGACCAATTGTACTATATTTCCTCTTTTTAATGTTAAAATTATAAGATAAGATACCATACAATTGTTATTTCATTTCTTGATTTACCTATTTTTATTAATAGATTATTTTACTACACAGAAAAATAATATTTCCTTATTTATGAGGAACAAAACATGATTACACATATAATACCATTATATAATAGACACATTATTTTAATCAAGTAAAAAGGATAGCAGAAAAGAAAAATTAAATTTTGTATCATTTTTATTGATTTGCTGCTTTCCTTGAATGCATCTTAACATGAACAGATACATTCATTCTGAATAACGCGTCTCATTATCCTACACATAGTCGACTGGAGTGTGAAATTAAATAAATGTCCATCAAATTTCGATGGACTTTCGCTGATACCATAAAATGATATTTTATTAATTACGAATAATTAATTATCTACAATGGGCCGAGATTAAGGGCGGGGGGCGGCCCAGGTCTACGCGCCCCGCCATCGCCGTTTAATGTTTTATTTTTCGTCGCGCGTCCCTCACTCGATCAATTGTACATCCTGTTTTTGCTTTTCTATGAACAACCTCCAATGTTGAAGTCAAGTAGACCGATTACCTTTCCAATGTTAATTAGCTTTTCATATGCACGTAACGCTCTTATTACTTTATTACACGTCAAAGACGTTTCTAAAACTGTTACTTTTTTTCTTTTTCACAAATACGTACATGTATTTTGTTTTTTCTATAATGGAAGTGACATATGACAAGTTGTATATAACGTTGAACCGCTGCAATAAAATACTGAATCCGACAATAAATTAAAGATATTTTCATCTAACCCACGATACAACATTATATTCTATCGAGTTTCATGGATTTCATTAAACGCTGTCGGTTATCCTTTGCCTAAATTAATTGTATAGTTATCGACAGTATATGGGTAATCTGTCTCTTGATTCGAAAATTGTTACTAAATTCAATGACAAGAATAACGATGAAGGTGGTTGTGATTGCGATTGTGAAGTTAATGAGGTGAGGATATCATTGCAGTATTTTTAAAGAAGGTTCTTAATTTCGTCGTACAATACAAGTACGAGGGCACCACCAGTACCACGGAGAACATTAGAGAATGCACCTTTGAAGAAAGCTCTACCACCTTCTGACTTGTAGATAGTGGCCCAGCAATGTAAAGTGCTCTTGTACAGGATATCGGTCTTAGCACGTCCGGACTGCATCATCATGCGCCTACGTACCGTGTCAAAGGGATAAGATATGATACCAGCTACGGTTGTTACAACCTGAAAAATAAACGTTATGCATTCATAGTTCGTAAAGATATATAATAAACATATCCGTTCATATTTAGAGAAGCACTGTTGACTTACTTGGGCAATACCCCATGAAATAAGGAATGGTGTCTTCTTAGGATCCGGCAACATGCCACGGGCAGTGTCATAGAAACCAAAGTAAGATGCTCGATAAATAATGATACCCTGGACGGATACTCCGAAACCACGGTATAGACCAGTAATTCCATCACTTTTGAAAATTTTAGTCAAGCAGTTTCCAAGTCCAGTGAATTCACGGTTTCCACCAGCTTTGCCAACATCAGCAGCCAACCTACATAAAATAGTATGTTATAGGATTTCTTTTTTTCTTTTCCTTTTTCAACAAAATTAAACTAATAATATATTTTACCTAGTTCTGGCAAAATCAAGTGGATAGACAAAGCAAAGAGACGTGGCACCAGCAGCACCACCAGATGCAAGATTACCAAGGAAATAACGGAAGAACTGGGTATTCTTATCAACACCCCCAAGGAAAACTTGCTTGTATTTGTCTTTGAATGCAAAGTTCAAAGCCTGAGTAGGGAAGTATCGGATGACATTTGCAAAGTTACCACGCCAATAACTTAAGAATCCTTGCTCTTTAGGGATACGAACGAAACAATCGATCATACCTGAAAAATATAAATATTTCTATTAATACAAACGAACTGTTAATATATATGAAATATGTGCAATGTTAAAATGCATCTTTTTTTTCAATTTATTTAAACTTAATAGAACAAATGAAAAAAAAAAAAAAGAACTTGTCAGACGTCAATTAAAACGTGCTAAATTAATTGATATTACTTCATAATCTCATCCAATTTATTTGATTGTTAAATCAATATAGTTCGTTAGTATTATTTTAATCAAATTAATAAAAATTATTTAAAAAAAAAAAAAGAAAAAAAAAAGGTAACATTCTAACTATAAATATTTCATTTCTAATTTTATTTTCAGGGTCAATATAAATAATCAGAACGTGAATATATAGAAATTTAACCTAACCAACCGACATGGTTTCCTTCCGAGAAAGCATGCGAGGTATGCAATAATCAAAGCATTGCTAATTGTAATGCTGTAAAAAATATATTTTCTATAACAATAGAAAAATAATTCTATTTATAATAGAAGGGATTTTGAAATCATTAATATAACGATCGATGTTTAAATCGATTTTCGATACATGACAATGGAATATGCGGATGAAAAACGATTCGAACATTTCACGAACGGCAGCCATATTTATCCGCATCGTCATCGATCGGCAAAGAGCACGCAGTGTCAAGTGAAAATGCGAAGCCATCATCATCGAGGTGCCATCTGGCAGTCAAAATGTCTTTATAGAAAATATCGATCCATTAATAACCATCAAAAAAAGGCATATATTTTCTTTATTAAAAGATCTTTAGAACGTTATGTAAGTGCATCGAAAATCGACCTTCCTCTCTGTTACATAAACGAATAAAAGTTAGGAAATACGCGACTCGTGTTTGCGACGACGCGCTCCGATCCGACATTGTTCTTCTACTTGTTCATGTCATTACATAACGGTTAATATATATCTTTTAGCCATTCGCAAAGTTAGCGTGTTAGATACCATTCAAACTAGAAATGGATTATCCGCGTCTCGAGGAGAAAGTCGAGTTTTCAAGGGATCAAAGTTAAAAGAAAAATCGATTAACAGACTCGACTTAAATGTAATAATGTACGATCGATGATGGGTGGTAACACCTCTTGTGTGACCGAGTCGAATCGAGAATCGATTCGAAACGCTCGCTGAAATATAAGGGTTATTGAAGTATTCCTTTTTTCTTAGAAATTATTCGAAATAAATGAAACTCACCCTTGTAACGTTGATCTTCAGCGATTTGCTTTGAGATGTGCTGTACCTGCAGCAGAAGTTTAACACGTTCGATCGGTGCTACTGCTGTTTTCGAGATAGCAGCGGCCACGCCGCCAGCTATGAAATCCTTGGCGAATGCCACTGGGTCCGCTAATCCAGACATCTTTGTTCTTTTCTTTGTCGGGTATGGATACTCGCTTTAAGGCGAGAGAGACAGAAACGGGTTAACGAACGGGAAGGAAATATAAGGAGAGAAAAACTCACTCCTGATGGTTTATTGGACGCGCGCCGGACGACGAGTGAGCGAGGCAGAGTTCTTCTCATCAAACGAACCCTATTCTAAGAATAGACGCGCAGGTCACGTGCCATCTTCTGCGCAGGTTCAAGCTTCTCTGGCACGCCATTCGTTCGACCAACCTACGAGACCGTGACACTAAACGTATACTTCCGAATCGTTCCTCTTGCTCGTTACTCTAATTCCATGACCTTACCTTCGTTGCATTCCTCAACAACGAGACTGCTGCAATTTCATGGTCGAAACACTTCATAGATAAGATTTTCAATCTTATTCATTTATTAAGAAACGAAATTTGCATTGTTCATCTCTGAGTTTGAATGTTTCCTGTTCTCAAAACGGAACTTCCGGTTCGATTGAACCTATAGGAAACGTCTCCTATCAAGAAACTCCGTTGAGCGCTCGTGGCGGAAATATTGCGAAAGATCTACTTTCACTATATAACTAGAACGGTTTTTATTTCCATTTTGGAATGATTTAATATTTCGATAAAATCATCTAACGTACGATCGTTTACCGAAATATATAATATACGATATCATTGAACGTTAGTCATTAGAAAAATATGAACGTATTTAACATATCTTTTATAACTATTCTATTATCATTTGATATTAAAATCAAACGTTTAAATTAACCGCGTATTTTATCAATAATGTGATCACGTGATAGATAATATATGCTGAGAATCTCAATCTATTATCGCTTGTATATCGATATTAGATTTCTTTATTTCATAATCATTAACATAAAACGAAATACATGTAAATGGATACGTAGAAAAATGAATGTACTCTCCTTTATCAGGAAATGAATGAAATATAAACTCGATAAAAGATGAAAGATTATACCAAAGACGTTAAGAGTTTAAGCATGGCCGAGATTCTTCGAACTTACAGCAATGTGCTCAATTAGATACGAATGTCGTTGCATACTGTTCTCATACCAATCGATCGATTGGCAACGTGATCGTGTTCTCTCTTATAGCTCGTATTTGTCCGTTAACTACGCCCTTGTCAACCATTTTTGTTGCCAATCCTTTCTTCCTTCCTTCCTTCCTTTCAAACTTTTCATTAAAAATAAATAAATTCGTAGGTATCGAGATCATTTTGAATGAACGATCATTATGAATAATGTTTTATCGTTGATTTCTCGATCTCAGAATGAAGCGCAAGGTCAATCTTCTCGGACACAAGGAGGTCAACAGGGCACGACTTGCGTAACTTTGGCTTAGGGCCAGTTTGTACCAAAGCACAGCGCCAGAGTTCAATGGAGTAACGTCAAACGAAAAGATGTATTTATATTAGGAGTACAAATAAGTTTTCGCCGTTTTTAGAGAAATGCCATGGCACAAGGCTTACGTTAAAATTCGCAGATGATAACCGGCTTGAAAATTAGGTTGCTCATTCAAGAGCAACATAATCCTATCATATTATTAACTTCTTTTTTAATGTAGATAGCGCGGCACAGAGTTTCCGTTAACTTTCGCAGATGATATCCTGCTTAAAAATTAGTTTGGACGTTTAAGAACAACATAACCTATTAATATTATTGATTTCATATTGGTA